CTGTCGGATTACAATCCATATTTGATCTAAATTTGATCCAAATTCTGTTTTTCTCTCTCTCTCTCACACACACACACACACATATATATATATATATATATATATATATATATGCTTCGGTACTAAAAATATATCTGTCCTACTAACAACTTGTGAGAAACGAAATGACTCACCTCCTGCAAAGCGAATTTGCTTGGCGTGTCAAGATCGCGACCGCCATTAAAAGTGAAATGGATTATTCCGAAATTCCTGTCTCGCGTGCAGACGTACAATGAAAAATGACTAAGAATTCAAACCAGCTTGAATTTATAAAACAGGAAGTCTAGTGCGAACGAGTATTAAGTATCATATGCAAATATTAGTTTACCAAACGCAGGCATAAATAGAGAGTCTGTGAGGGGGATCGGGAGAACTTTTGTTGGCGTATAATACTAGTAGTAGTGGAAGGACTGCGCCCATACTTTTGGTCATGCAGTGTGATGGGACATATGGCAAAGGTTTGTCCCGGCAAGAAGGGGGCGTCTCAACCTAGCCAAGCAGAAGTACCAACAGTTGCGGCAGTACCGGTACCGGCAGCAGCAGTGCAAGCAGCGGCGCTGCCCGGCGAGGTTCCGGATGAAGGCTGGAAGGAGGTAGCGAGGAAGTGCAGAAAGACGCCAAGCCCTACACACCAGAAGTAGGTCCATCAGCAATCACCACACAAAGAATAGCCGACAAAGCAGCAGTCGTTGCCTCAGCCCTCAAAAGGGCAGCAGCAAGAAAAGGAGGAGCAGCAACCTAAAGAGAAAAAAAACAGGAGGAGACACAAAAACGGGAGAAACAGCAAAAGTTCCCAAAAAGGCACAGAAATAAGAAGAAATGCCCCCCCCGAAGGTCTTCTTCTTTCAAGAGGGGAAGGGAGGGGCAAGATGAGGAGATAAAAACAAAGAAGAAGAAGCAGGCTGAAAGAAGTAGGAAAGACAAACCGATAGAAAGGTCAAGGTCCCAATCCGTCCCTACGGCCCCAGCTGAAATAGACACAAAGAGTCCCAGAGCAAGAAGCCTTCCCCCTTCACCTACACGGGCTCTGTCCCCCACTCCCTCAACATCATCCCTGTGGGTCAACGTCAACTCCCCCTCCCACATCCACTTCTTCTCCGCCCCATCCTTCTAGGGAGAAGAGAAGTAGTAGTTTTTCACCAGAGCAGAGGTCATTTGTAAGGTGAACAAGAAGAAGTTGGAGAAGAACATCCACCCCCAAAAAAGATGCCTCCTGGGTCCTTTGTTTAAACTGACCTCGGTTGACGGAAAGTCGATTGAAGATCCCCGTAATTTAGCCCAAGCCCCGGGCTTCATTACATTTGTAAGGGACATTGGGAGGTCATTGAAAGTGTGGTACCATTTAGAAGAGGCTAAAATCCTGAAATTTGAATGTTGGTAACGGGAATGCCCATTCTTAAAACGTTTTCTGAATTTTGTGCAGGGAGGGTCCCCATACTTCTCCACTCCTCACTATATAGGGCAGTAAAACTAACATATCTCATGGACGTTAGCAGTATTAGATGGACGAATGACGTCGGAGATGTGTGTAGGAAGCCTAGGACAATTCGTCGGGGTCCTTTCAGATGCAAATTTCCGGCCCGTATGTGAGTATTTTTTTCTCGTACTTTTGTATTTTTCAGGCCTAATCGATGTCTATCAAGTTAGCCAGTCTGAATGCAAACGGATTGAGGGATCGGGGTAAGGCTGCCCGCCTGCTCCAGAATCTCTTGTCTTTCGGTGTGGATGTCGCCGCGATCGAAGAGACCCACTTTGTTTGCAGCACTGATGTGTGTGTGCTGTCTGGGACTTTGTCGTTAATTCAGCATATGGGGACCGATATGCCTGAGGAGTTTCTTTGCTTGTGAGACTTTCTCTTGATGCAAAGGTGGACCTTGTGCATACCGATGCCGAGGGCCGGTTGATTATGGCCGATATTGCCGTGAAAAGTGGTTCGTTTCGAGACGTTGCGGTTTATGCGTCCAACGACCGGGAGGAGCGGGTCTCGTTTTTTCCGCGGTTGGGGCCGTTCCTGGTGGATTCAACGCGCCTAGTCTTAATGGGGTACTGGAATGCCATCCTGGACCCCAAGTTAGATAGGGGCGGGGAGCTAGCGGGAGAAGGGACGAATGTAGCCTGGTTGATCTGATCGAAGAATTTGGTCTAGTCGATAGATACCGGGCCGATCACCCCGGGGGAAGGGAAGGACGTGGGCTCTTAATTGGCCTTTTACCCGGGTGGTTAGCTAACTGGATAGAATGTTAGTCATAGGGGCCGACGTAGACTAGTTAGGTTGTCCCACGTTCTACTGGGTAGGCTATTCGGATCACAAACTCGTTTGTGCCCGGATGGCGTTATATCATAGGCCTAGAATGTTTGGGTACTGGAAGTTCAATTTGTCTTTACTGGACAGGCGGAACTTCCAAGAGCAGCTAACTTGCTTAGTGCAGCGGGACCTAGTGGGAGCGGTTATCGGGAATAGGTGGTGGGAGAGACTTAAGAATAGGATTAGGTCCTTCCCCATTGATTTCAGCAAATGTCTCACCCTAGATAGAGCTGAAAGGTGAAGACGCTTAAGGCTAGTTTTCCCGGGTGATGCCTGGGGGGTCGATAGAGAGAGCCTTAGCTAGGGAGGCTCTGGAGCGTTTGACTAGCGATCGCTACATGGACCAGGTAATTAGACATAGGTTAAACAAGATGTCTTCCGAAGCGGTTAATATGGGCGCAGAATTTGCGCAAGGAAGAGATCCGTCGAGGTTCCGGTCGGCATATTCGTGAAGTCAAAACCCCAGAGAGGCGCACTCTTCGGGCCACTGACGAAATGTGCGAGGCATTTTGGCGGGATTTCGAGAGCCGGTTTACCAAGAAGCCTGGTCTTCGTGATGACGAGTTTCGCAGCTATTTGACTGACTTTCCTCGGCTTTCACCGACTGAAGCAGCTAGCTGCGAGGGAGAGATCACGAGGCTTGGTCTACGCTGCATTGAAGAAGGTCGGCAGTCGCTCGGTCTGAATGGTTTGCCCTATGAATTGTACTTGAGGCTGTCGCACGTCTTTGTCCCAATTTTGACGGTGGTTTTCAACAACTGGTTCCGGCAGGGGTCTCTCCCCGACCGGTTCTCCAGGGGTGTGATCACGTTGTTGAAAAAGAGCAATGATGTTGGGGGGAAATTAGATGATTACAGGCCCATAACTCTGCTAAACACAGAGTTAAAGATTTGGGCCAAGATCCTGCAGGAGCGTTTGCAGTCAGTTGCCGAGTCTCTGTTGGATCCTGAGCAGACTTGTTCTGTGAGGGGCCGAACAATTCAGAGCACCCTGCATTTGATCCGCACGATCATAGCGGGTGTAAAAGACGACGATGTGGCCGCGCTGATCAATTTGGATCAGTCCAGTGCATTTCATAGGGTTGACCATCGCTACCTTGCTGCTGATCTGCAGGCCGCCGGATTCGAACCCGACTTCTGCCGCTGAATTAGCCTCCTGTATCGCTCCCCCAGTGCTGTGGTACAGGTGAACGGGAAGCTGTCGGGCACTTTTGCGCTGTCTAGGTCGGTTCGTCAGCGTTGTCCACTGTCGCCCCTACTTTATGCTTTGGCGTTGGAGCCTCTTCTTCACCGGCTAAGGGACAGGGCGTGCAGTCCGGCCCTACGTGGAATCGCCGTTCCTGGAGGGGTTCGAGCTAGGGTTTCCGCGTACGTCGATGACGTATCTACTTTCGTGTCGTCCCGCAGCGATATTGAGGTGGTACTGAAGGCGCTTGATCGGTACGAAAAGGTGACAGGGGGCAAGATTAACCCCGACAAGTCGTCTGGCTTGCGGTTAGGTGCCTGGAAGGGGTGTCGACCTCCCAGGGCCCTTAAGCTGGAGAAAAATTGGTCTGAAGTACGAGAAAAGGTTGACGCAGCCGATCAGACTTGGCGTCGACGGAAGTTGTCCGTGAAGGGCAGGGCGGAGGCGTGTGCCACTTACGTTTTCCCGATTGTCCTTTATCGCTTGTCTGTACTTCCTCTCTGTAAAGATCATAAGAAGCCGCTCGAACGCCCGCTATCCTCCATTTTATCGAGGGGACGTAAGCATCAGGTCATATTAAATATTTAATTATAAATTTTATAATCATTACATTTTTATGGCATGGGGCGTATCTTGTGAGGATGCGGTATTATGCTGACGGACGAGTTTTTGTGGTGAATGTGGAAATTGTAATCAGTGAATGGGTCGTGAATCAGATTAGCTAGGTATAAGATAGTGATGACTAGACTCAACCCCTCCCCTTTTTCGGCCGTATGCCATAATTATGTATTTTGTACATACTATCACTTTTGTTGGCGTGACGTCATACGGACGGACGTGAACGAGAGAATGAGGAGGTAACTCGCGATAGCTCAGTTGGTAGAGCGGTGGACTGTAGAAGAATGCAAGTACCTTAATCTATTTCAGTTATCGCAAACGACGTGCAAATTAAATTAACCACAGAACCCCTTCCAAATTAAATCTGATGTTTGATCATTTGGGATTCATTTTGTGAAGTGGATAAGACTGATATATATATATATATATATATATATATATATATATATATATATATATATATATATATATATTAGATCATCTTTATTCGTTGATTTTCGGTGGACACTAAGTTTTAAGCTACTCTTAACGCAGTGTAGCATGATGTCTAGGAAATGTAAAGTATTTTTTTTAACATTTCACATGCAAAATTGATCTTATCTACAAGAGCAGGCAAATCAGTATCATGGGATATATCAATATAGCATCAGAAGTATTTAGATAGATAGATAGATAGATAGATAGATAGATAGATAGATAGATAGATGTTGTAAAGCATAAATACGAGTGATTTTTCACCTTTATTAATCCCAATTCTATTCTGTGTAAAATAATCCGAGTCCGCAATTATCGCGTTCACTCTTTACGTAATGTTCAACTTCATTGAAGCTTACATTCTACAAAATACACTTACCTTTCATCACCTTGTTCTTCATGCTGACGGTCTTAAGCGGTCGACACAAGGCGCCATAAACAACAAAGTTCAAAAACAATCCACCTATTAATAAAAATGTTCCCCTCATACCATAATAGGAAATGCTTCGTTCTACTAAATAATTAAGGACAAATGCACCAATTCCTCCTCCAGTATTAGCGATTCCGACGGCCAAAGTTCGTTTCTTCTTGAAATAAGATCCAACGATGGTGTTGCAGGAAAAGTGGGACATGCCAGCAAAGAAACCTAAAACAAAGATTGAGAAGCGGGCGAAAACTTTAAAATTGTACTTGTGAAAAAAGATTTCGAAAACTAAATATTGTCCCCTTATGAAATAAATTTTGGTGGGTCGACATGATTGTTTGTCACATTCTAGAATTTACAACACTACTGAATATATCTCTGAGTGCCTGTCTATCTGCCTATATCAGTCTGTTTCTATCTATCTCAGTCTGTTCATATCTATATCTATCTATCTATCTCAGCCTATATATATATATATATATATATATATATATATATATATATATATATATATATATATATATATACCGTTTGGGGACCCTGTGGCACGTAGTGCACCAGTTCTCTGTATTCGGCCTTCAAAAGTGTGTATGATCCTGCACGAAACCTTCACCACTCATGGGCTGTCGGTTTCCTGGAAACTGATCTGCTTGACCCACATACGTTGAAATTGAATCAGATCAGGTTGTATTAAAATGTGCTCAATACACGTGAGAAAAAAATAAGTAAAAATAAAAATAACATGTAGAGCTTTTAAGTTTAATAATCAAGAGGTCAATTAAAACACCCGGCCACGGTTTTGATCTGATGGTCTTTTCGGTTAATACTTTTAAAATGACCACTTCAACGCTTTATATTTAAAAAAAAAAAAAAAAAAAAAACAGAAATAACGCTACATAATTATCTTTAAAAAAAATAATATATCATTACTGGCGAGCTTGGTACAATCCCAAGGGTAAATCGAAACAGGTGACAGGATTACTAAAAATCAATTAGGATGTTGGCTGATTTTGTTTACAGGTTATTTAATGCCAAAATCTAAATATTTTGAACACAATTTTATGGATTCAACTAAATATTTTGAGATACAACTACAGATAAAATGTATTATTGGTTATTTTGCTTTATAATTGGATTCTTGGTAATTTTGCTATAAATAAGTGTTGTTGGTAATTTCGCTATAAATGGTTATTGTTGACATGATTACTAAAAATCAATTAGAATGTTGGTTGATTTTGTTTAGCGGCATATCAACACCTCTATGGGTTATTTAATGCCGAAATCTAAATATTTTGAACACAATTTTATGCCTTCAATTAAATATATTTTGAACGCAATTGTTTGCCTTCAACTACTGATAAAATGTTTTCGTTAGACATTTTGCTATAAAATGTATTGCTGGTAATTTTGCTTTAAATTTGTACTGTTGGTAATTTTTTATATAAAAATATATTGCTGTTTTTTTTACAAAAAATACTTTCATAGTGTTTTGTTTTTTTTAGGAGTTAAATATTTGCTCATTGCTGGGACCCTAAAAGGTGCTAATACCCCGGGTCAGAGTAGACCCTGTGATCAACTGCAATTAAGAATTGGTTCGACGCTCCTGAAAACCTCGAATGTCTTGCTCAGAGGCCTTGCTGTCAGATGTAACTATAAATCAATTAGAATACTGAAAAGACTCTTGGAGGACTGAAGAGACTTACTCTCACTTAATGAACGCTAATAGTTTAGTGTTGATTTGAAAACTCAAGGTATGTTGACAGTAATAAAGATTTGACACGAACAACGTAGAAAATCAAACTCGACAAGACACAGAAAAAATGGCAAATGTGTGGGAAGAGAGAAATGAAACTTTCAATCCTATAATGAATGATTTATAAATTACATTAAAGGAATATAAAATGTATATAATTGAAGACGAACTGTTCTTCGAGGCATAAGAAGAAGTCTTTCTAGACGTCTACAAAAATGGAAGAACTTATATTTACATAAGAAACAAAGTCCCTCCTACCTGAGAAAATTATAATATAAAGAACTTCAACTTGCTAACGAGGCATTTACCAAGAATATAAATGGGAAAGGGGACAAGAAACATGTCAGAATCCTTAAAATTGTTACAAACGGAACGAAATCAAGAAAGGCCAGAAACGTACCCTTAAAATGAACAGGAAATTATTAGAATCTAGAATGTAGAAATATAACCAAAGAAAATATCTCGATGATATCTATTTTTTATAGTAAAATTCACTCTGTATAAAGCACGGGAGACACTCGAGGTAGAGTCTTACAGCGTAATAGGCACCATTTATGTATATTTGTGGAGAAGATAATGGTTAATCATCGACTTGAACGGGTTGACATTATGTATGATCGGGAAAACAACTTCTTGGTAGTTGGGTCAACAGAGCACTTGTTCGCGGGAAGAAGCTGCTCGATTGGAATTTACTTCTCACCAATGGAATACGGAAAGAATGGACGGTGGGGTTCGTTACAAGTATGACTAATCTTAGCTGGGGAAGTTAAAACTGGTGGAATTACGAGTAAGAAATGTGGCTCGTCTGAGCACTTTCTATGGAAGTAGAGCAGTGAGAGGTTTGTCACGTTTCATCTGTGAGAGACGAGGTTGTAGGGTAGAAAATAATTTGTCACCCACAAAAACGTGGAAACGCTTTTGGACTCTATCCAGAATGCAAAGTGAGGCCTGGGCATTTCCTGCCCAAATATGACAGAAGTACTTCATTTTAGGTCTGAACTGACTCTTGTAAAGGTAGAAGATCTGTTGGGAAATATTCTAGACCCTTTCCAAACAAGACAAAAGAAGAACTGTATAATTTAGAACCAAGATCACAGAAGGCTAAAATGCCCTGTACATGGTATAGAGTGTAGATATATGATATAAGCTGAGCAAAAAGTTACAAAATAATACATAAAAATGAGGAACTGATATTGATTTATATAAAGATTTTCTTTTTCTTACTTGAGAGAATTCCAAGCGTAACATATTCTAAAATATGACATTTCAAAACCTTTCAATACGATTCGTATGTGGATCATAAATTGTAAATTTTTATACATTATAAGATAAAATGGAGATAAAAGAGTCAAAGTAAAATTAAAATTTGAATTATAAATTTAAAAAACCGTTACGAGAAATATATTTTAAAATTATCAAATTAAAAATAAAATTGTCAATAAAAATATGCATTAAGTAGCAAATATCTTATAATTGTATATCTTGTTCTATAATTGTATTTGGATATAAAATAAAAGAAAAGAACAAAAGCAACAGAGGAAATTGAATTACGTAAATGACAATTACAAAGACAATGAATGGTAAAGGTGAAAAGAAACATGTCAGAATGTTTAAATTGTTACAAAATATCGAAATGAAATAAAGAAAAGCCAAAAACGCACACCTAAGATTAACAAAAAATTATTAGAATATAAACGTAAGAGGTGAAATATGTTCAAAGAAGTAAATATCTTGTTGCTATATATTAGGAAATATTCTGAAGCCTTCCCAAACTAGACAAGAGAGAAATTATGTAATTTACAGCCAAGATCAAAGAAGACTAAAACGCCCTGTACACGGTGTACAGTGTAGATAAATGATATAAGCTGAGCAAAAAGTTACAAGTTTATACATAAAGAAAAGTGATTGATATTGATTTATATAAAGGATTTTCTTTTTCTTACCTGAGAGAATCCCATATGTAAAGTAAAGAACTTCAACTTGGTCAACAAAAAAGCTTCCAATGGTTGACATGGTAGAAAGGATTCCTCCGCAAATAATAACTTGGCGATGGCTTGCATTAAACATCATTAGAAGCAACACAAATGGACCTGGTTAATGAAAAAATATTTAAGTCAAGAACAAAATTGTCTGAAAATGGTACATTTCTTCATTTGAACGCTTGACTTTTATACTGGCACCAATTTAGAAACTTACCAACGCATAATACGATTCCCATGAAAATAGAACCAACGATGGCTGTTTTTGATACTGTGTCTCCATAAAGGTCGACTAATCCAAGGAGGATAATACCATTTGAGGAAACCAATCCGAAAATAGTAAAATTCATCATGAATCCGGCAAAGCAAACAACCCAACTCCATCCTCCATCAGGAATATGGAGGTCGTTATCGTCATCCGATTCTGTTTCTGATTCAAATTCCTTTGTTGCTCTTTCAAGAATAATTCGTTTTGTTTGTTCCATGCTGAAAAAAAAATACGAAATTTAAAATTAAAATGTTTTATAAATTTAAATTTACAAACATTCCGAAGATAATTAAATGATCTGAAACTTCACGAGTGACACTAAGAGAATATAGGGGTTCAGATGCCTAAATTTCTCAAAAAAGACTCTTTTTTCTCTTCTCTCTCTCTCTCTCTCTCGCACACACACACGCGCGCACGCACGCACACACACACACACACACATATATATATATATATATATATATATATATATATATATATATATATAGAGAGAGAGAGAGAGAGAGAGAGAGAGACACGCACGTACGCGCGCATACATAAACACAGAATCTTAAGTGTATTAATATCCAGTACTTGTTATATGTGTATATTATTTTACAGTAATATTCACCCTGTACATGACCGGGGGCCACTCGAGGTAGAGTAGTTTATATGGATAGGAGGGGAACATAACGGGTGACTCTAAACTTGAACACGTTAAGATTGTAATTATCATGGAAACATCTTCCTGTATGTAAGCGGCATGTCGGGTCCTAGCCGTGAAGGTCAGACCGAGTGGAACCATGAGATGCAGATGCGTCCGAGTACTTTCCCTGATAGAGCAGTGACAGACTCACCCCATCCCGCTCTTGAGAGAGGGGTTGGAGGGTGGAAAATAATTCTCCTCCAGCAAGGACTCGCACACACACACACTCCTCTCTCTCTCTCTCTCTTTCTTTCTCTCTCTCTCCCTCTCTTTCTCCGAATATACAGGCCGTCCAATTTAAGAGAGTCAACTGTCCACTTTGCAACCTACTCCGCACACACCGGTGCCAACTACCCGCAAATCTTCCGGTCGAGGAGGGAGGCGAGCCTGATTGGGGGCCCTGAGCAGTGCTTTTTGGTCCTCTCTATCTTATCAACATTTGCTTTTTTCTACCTGCAATTATACACGTTAGAAGTTAAACTAAACACAATAGATTATTAAAAGATGACAAAATTTCGCGAATTTTGACATCGTTGTGGATTCTTTTTTCGTCCAAAATCGTGAATTTGTATTTTTCTCATACGAGGTCTCGAAAAAAAAACACTATATAAAATTCATTATTTTTATCCATCATATTGAACATGTTAAAATAATTCAAATTTTTAACAAGAAAAATCTCAAATTGTTGTTAAAAATTGCTATAAAACTGTTGATTTAAGGTGTTATGATCTATTATGACATGTCTCTAATTTGTATTTAGATACATTGTATTTATTTTCAATTTTTCTAGTTGAATTGTTCATCTATATTGCATATAATCCATTATTGTACATGATTAGGTTACAATAAAATTTGTATTTTATATGAATATTACGTCATGACAATTGAAAAAAAAATTGAAAATTAGACACTGGAAATATTCTTTCTTGCGTAGAACTGCCATTAAATGTTTTGTTGATGTAGAAATGAAATGAAGCTGTGGAAGACTTGGCATAACATTTGATTGGGATAATAAAAGTAATGACAGGAAAGATACTTGATAATTTCACGGTTTTTCTATTTGAATTTTTTGATGAATCTTAATTCTTCAGTTAAGGATTGTGTAAAGCTCTTGGCGAGTTCTACGACTATAAAATATCCGTAGAAATTCCCCTATCGCATTGTTAAATACTTGAACTTAAAATCTTTAACAAAATATTACAATAACAACCTGATAAATATGATTACTGGTCGTTATTTTAAAAAGTAAAAGGATACAAATGAAAACATGTGGAATTGATAACTTTTTCCGTTTCAGTAAAACAGACCTTAAACACTTCTATCTGCCCTTTTTTACTTTTTTTCTTTGTTTCTTTCTTTTTCTCACTGAAACCAAGTAGCGTCTCTGATATGTCATTTCCGTATTTTCACGCGGTCAAAACGGAAGCTCCGAGGTTGGGGGACTTTCTCCCCATGCAGTACCTCTCCCTCGTGAGGGGGGGGGGGCTAGGTTTATCGCCTGGTACCTGAGGCGTCCCCAAAAGGGGTAGTGCTGAGGGGGTTGGGGAATTTTTATGTACGGCCGATAGACCCACTTTAAACTTCGACCTTGTGTCACATCCGGCTGCGACGTGAGCGAACTGGTAGGTACCACTAGTCCTTGACCTTGAAAACTAAACCGAAAGCAGTTAGCAGTCACACACGTTTCATTAGCGTGTGCTTCACACACACACACACACACACACACACACACACACACACACACACACTGACGTACTATACGACTCGATTTCCTCACTTATAACAAAATCACTTCGAAACTTTACAGACTCACCTGCGACAAATCATTTCGAAAAATTGAAACTATTGGTCTCTTCAAGTCCACAACAAAGAACATTGTTTTTAATATGTAAATACATGTATCTGCTTTTATAAATGTTATTCTTATTTTTTTTTTTTTACACCTGGTCTTTTTCTGCGAAGAACATTTCTTCGCGTTGTTTATAATTTTGTGTTTTATTTGTGGACACGACACTCGGATTTTTTTTTTCCACAGGACATGTAACTTCCCTAGTTCTTACTCCATACTTAATAACAAATATCATCTTTGATATGCCATGGCCCGTCATGATGTAAACGATCATGGCTCTCCACAATATCCTATTCTTTGTAGCACTAAGAAATGATAGTTCCCTAATTATCTCTCCCAGTTCCTGTTCTGCTATCATTTAAACAGACTCGTTAGGTAGGTTAGTCATTGTTCCTCTAGCTTTCGGTGTGCCCTGCGAGTGTCAGATTCGCCAAGCCTTCTTTCCTCGGTGTATGTTTTAGAAATATCAACTATCACTTTCTGATTCTAAGTACAACTGTCGTTTTAAAGAAGCTTCCTCATTGTTCAGAAATATACGCAAATATATAATGACTTTCTTTAATAATATTATATTGATTAGTTGTTTTTTCCTAATAGTTATCCCAGGTAGAATTTATTAAACATTACTTTCATTTGCTTTAAGGATTACTTAGAAACCGACGCAAACATTCGTGGATGTAGGCGAGGAAAAATTATGTAACAATTATTGAGGGTGTAATTATTGTCGATGACCTTTGAACCTACACGACCGGTCGCACAATAAAACACAATGTCGACATTCAATCTAAATTCTATTGTACTTTGAAAAGCAGAAAAATGTTCTTATTGGTGGTTTATGCAAACCTTACTAATAAATGTGTGTGTGTGTGTGTGTGCGTGCGTGCGTGCGTGCGTGTGTGTGTGTGTGTGTGCGTGTGTGTGTGTGTGTGTGTGTGTGTGTTTTATAGAGTTGTGAGTGATTGGGAGCGTTAAAAGTATTTAAACTCGATATCAAACCATAAATTTTTAAAGCTGCTATTGAAATTATTGTCCACGGGGAACAACTCTGTAATAAATAGTTTATTATCTCCCTTTAGATGTTTTTTCATATTCTGCAACTTAAAATATACTTACCTGAGTTATAAATGCTTTAATATTCTAGTTATTTTATTTATTCATATATATATATATATATATATATATATATATATATATATATATATATATATATATATATATATATAGAGAGAGAAAGAGGGAGAGAGAGAGAGAGGGAGAAAGAAAAAGAGAGTCGTATATATATATATATATATATATATATATATATATATATATATAGTTGTATATTTAAGCAGCAATCCTTCCTTTATGCATGTTTCATTAAAAACGACAGAGAAGGAAATACGTTTGAGCTTTTTTATTTCATTTTTCTTGTGTTCTGACAAGAGCTTTCTTTTCTGGACAAAGGGTGTGTAAGAACTGTCCGAAAGTGTGCGTTCTGTGTATGTATTAGTGTGGTAGGGATGTTTTTAATTTCCGAATACGGTTAGCACATTGTGGCTTTGTTCGTAGTTAATATTGTTAAGAGTTGGCGCTTTCTTTTTTATTATTAAAGCTTCCATTATTTTTAGTCTTTTTTTGCAAGTGGATGCAGTTAATATATTTGTGTTTTCTATGTTCCTAATGGTGTCGGGTAAATCTGAGTGTGTGTTTAAATGTGTTCTGATGGAACGCACACACTCAATTAAGCTGAAAATAGAATCATCCTTGATAATGGCTAAAGGTATAACCGAAAGCGCTCGGAAATATAAAACATTCGGACAGTTCTTACACACCCTTTGTCCAGAAAAGAAAGCTCTTGTCAGAACAGAAGAAAAATTAAATAAAAAGCTCAACCGTAGTTCCTTGTCTGTCGTTTTTAATGAAACATGCATATATATATATATATATAAAAGAATGTATAAACATAAAAATATATTTTAAAATATATATATATATATATATATATATAAAAGAATGTATAAACATAAAAATGTCTTTCTATATATATATATATATATATATATATATATATATATATATATATATATATATATAAAAAGAAATATGTTATAGTGGTTCCAACGAGAGAAAAGTATGTATATTAAAAAGAAGAGAAGAGAGGTGCCGCTAACGTTTTTTGGTTGTAATGTGGATTTATTTAGAAAAAATATTATGCTTTGTTTTACATAATTTTACGACACGTGTTTCTGGTCTCTATCTCTGATATTGAGCACTTGATCCCATAAATATAGCACATCTTAAGAGTATATTTCTTTATATATATATATATGTGTGTGTGTGTGTGTGTGTGTGTGTGTGTGTGTGTGTGTGTGTGTGTGTAATTTTTTAGATAATTCTTATATATCAAGAACAGTTGGAGGTGGAAAAGTATGACAAAGTGAAAAAAGGATTCGTGTGATGCGTTTTGTCCATTTTAAATATTTTTTTTATTCCGATAAAGTCCTAAATCAGGGGTCGGCAACTGATTCGACCCCGCGGGCCGGATCGTGTTATAATGACGGGTCGCGGGCCGGACGAAGGCCATTAATGAAAAATTAAGGAAAATTACATATGCAGACCCCTGTCAACGTAAATATTTAAAACCATAATGAAAATAAACATTGAGAAATCAGAAAAACAAAAGAAAATCTAGAATTAAAAAACACCTCACAAAAATTACTTTTCCTCAAGGAACGTCAAAATACTTCAAAGTGGAAAAAATCAACTGAAGTGAAATGGATGAAATTATGATGTAGGTTTGAAACTGTTATTGAAAATTGTTCCAAAAAAGAACACACACACACATCAAACAAAAAAACGAAGCATATATACCCATACATACGAGTACAAATAGTTGCAAACATATACACTTACGTACGTACACATTTGGTATCATCCACACATTCATGAGACATGTAATGCGTGTATGTTTAACTGTATTTAGATTTCTGCTACCTCACATGTCAGGTCCTCTCTGGCCTCTTTCACTTTATCGTTCCTTTCGCTTCTGTTATCTTTTAATGTAGCCAAGGGTCATAACAAATATGTATCCATTATTTGACATTAAACGTAGGCAACGCAACTTGGTAAAATAAGTCTCATGAAAGATAACTGGCAGATAGTCTATTTTTAGTGCACTGAGATAACATGTTAAAATATTTTGACGAATTCATTGAAATTTTGTTTCTCATGTTAATAAAAAAAATGCCGTCGCGGGCCGGATCCGGCCCGCGAGCCGTAGGTTGCCGACCCTTGTTTAAAAAGGATGAAACGCGTCAGACGAAACAGTTCTACACCTTGCCATATATATATATATATATATATATATATATATATATATATATATATATATATATAAATAGGGAGAACATTGTGTTTATCGTGCGACCGGTTAATCGAGAGACATCATTTTACTTGTTATCAACCATGAAAAAATTAAAATAAAGAAAAAATACATTTAATAATTTCTTTTGTTTATTTTTGGCACCAAGTTCTTTACTTGGGTCATCGCATTTAAATCAAAATTAATTTCTAACTCATTCATAACTTTGGTTCACAGTATGTGGTTTGTGTAACTATTATGAGCTTTTCTCTATGTACAATATATAAAAATATCAACCGGCAATAAATTATTTCATTGGATTACGACACCGTATTATCTCGAAATCTATGTAAATTAATCTGTTCTTTGCACTTGATTCCCCCACAGATTTTGTTCATATGAAGTTACTTTAGTTGACGACAATAGTCTACAGTTTTAACGACTTCCCTTCGCATTGACGCTAATACTGTTTCTCGGATTCTTTATCAATACGAAGACTAAAAGAACACATCACATTTATTCAATTTAGATGCTAAATAAAAACATGAAAGTGAGAATGAAAACAATAAACTGGAGTAAACATTAAATTACAACAACGAAATAAAAAAGTCATTTCACTTACAAAGCGGATGAATATGCGTAAAAACTCCCAGTGAAAATGTTGTTATTTTTTAGATTCTAAGTTGACATAATTTATTTAATTAGAAGACGAATACTAATCGGTGGAATTGTGATCCGTTGTACAACCGTAAAAGTTGCTGAAGTTTTTTCTTAGCGGTAATTGTACGAAAACCGCTTTCTATTGATGGATGTACAACTTGCTTTCACAACAGAGCAAGCGAAGTGACAACAATACTGTTTTGTAACAGTCAACAAACATTTATGTCAATATTAAGAACACTGGTGAAACAGGTCTGGATCATGTTGCTATTGATGATTTTATATCAAAGTTAAAAATGGGTTTTTAATCGAAAATAGATTTTTCCCTAAGCCTAATTTTAACTTTTCAAATGATGATTCATTTATTTTAATGATACTTTTAACTTTAGATATAAAATTTTCTGCATTCATGGGAAAAGAATACTGAATGTTGTGAACAGAACGGTTGTAAATATAAACAGCGTGGCTATAGGAATCAACACTGCATAAAGACTGTCGGTTTTTAGTTAGATTATATGACTTTGGTAGTTTTTAGAATGTATTAATTGGCTTGAATAATAATTTAAAACATCCGTTTATTTACGCTATTCGGACTGTTGTCCTCATCTTTATTGCCATATTCACGACATTTCGGTCATTGTACGCTCCGGCATTTTCTAGGTGATATATGTTGGAATTTCGAACTCTTTATTAGGTACGCGTGAGTAGATTGTTCTAATTCCACGTGCCATGACTTTGGATACCTCAGTTTCAGTTGATTCCCCTTAGTAACTCAACTCTCCAAGTTTTTGTTCCTTCTGTGACCAGATATTGAACTTATAATTCTTTGGATCAAGTCATTTTTCGATCAAGTCATTTTTAGATCAAGTCACGTTTGGATCAAGTCACATTTGGATCAATCAGACAATGCTTTTATACACCGGACCATATGTCCTTGGGAACATCAGTGAGTGAATTTTGTGGCCTTAAAAACCAAATGTATCAGTAATCTTTTTTTACCAGGGCTCATATTACATCCATATTACACTTTTTTTTTTAAATGTTCTAACTCTATGTATTACTGGTTCTCATATTGCATTCATGTCTATGGTTGGCCGGCTTGGGAGATTATTATGGTCCAGTATATGAGCTGATTCCTTAAGTTTTTGTATTTTCCACTAATGTCCCCTGTCTCTTATCTCAACTTCATCTCGCAGCGGGTGTTGATGTTCCTTTTCCTTCCATATGTCGTCAGCTACACCTGATTTTCTATTTCCTCTCGTGTTACGGATTTTCGGGGTTCCTGCAGTCTTATCTTAAGGGGAGGACATGTTTCTCCTTTATATTTTTTTTCCACAGCTGCACGGGATGGCGTACACACAGTCCTTAATCATGTTCCCCACCCGCGGGAGTCTTACTCGGAAGAGATGTCTGCATAGTGTTGCACCCCTGCTGAAGGTCGTCCTGATGTTATATCGACCCAGATCTTTGTATCTTTTCTGATAAGGCCTTCACATAAGGTAGGAACATCAAAGTTGTTATCATATTTTACCCATCTATCCGAGTTTGTGGGGCTGCTGTCATGAAACCAGGGTAGTTGTTACGTTGTAGGTTACTGATTATACGGACCATTTCATGTTCATATGTCTCTGGGTTGCCACTTATGACTTTTGCTCGATGTTGTAAGCAGTGGATGATCCCTTTCTTTACGCTATATGGGTGCTGGTATCGAAGTTGGAGTATTGTCCGGTGAATGTTGGTTTGCGGTATATGGAAGTCTTGAACATATTCTCTGTTCGAGATATTAGTACATCCACGAATGTAGTTTGTTGTTTTCTTTCTCCATTGTGAACTGTGCCAATGGTTTTATTGAGCTAACATGGTCAAGTAGCTGGACATTTTCTTGTGGGTCCAAAATATGTCTCAGCTTTAAAGTTGGCTTAAGTGGTGTTGATTCTAAGGTCATTTCCTAGAAATATTTCATGTATATGTTACCCAATGTTGGTGATAACGGCGAAGCCATCCCTAAGCCTTCATTCTCTCGATATATAGCTGATCCCATTCTGAAGTATGTTGTTTATGTACAGAGTTTTCTATCGGTATATTGGTACGTTCTCCTAGAGATGAATCCGAGGTCAGTCTGTCGCTGACTATTGATAGTGGGCTACTCCGTGGGTACCTTGGTGAACAAATTCAACGTGTCCAGGCTCACGATCTGGTTGGATTGGGTGGGAGCATTTTTTTTTATTATTTCGACGAAGTGGGTGGAGCTCAGGACATATGATGATGTCTTTCCTATTAATAGGTAAATTATATCCACAAGGAAGCGACTCAGTGCAATGACATCATCATCATACTATCAGCTGACAAAGGCAATGCGACTGTAGTGATGGACAAATTGGATTATACCAGAAGACTGGAAGATCTCATTAGAAATGGTAGCTACAGTAAAGAAAGAGCCAACTATAAAAGCAGAAAGAAAACTCTCGCAGATTTTAATCAAGAACAATGATTACTTCCCACCTGAGACATCCAGGTAGTTGTCACAACATTATAATACGCTACCTCATATATATGGTCTCTCTAAAATTGACAAAGACGTTATTCCTCTCGGGTCATTTGTTAGTTGTCAAGGCTCTGTGTGCCACCCTCTGTGTTGCTTCCTCGTGGAATTAGAACAATCTACTCCCGTAGACTAAATAAAAGGTTCGACTCGAAATTCTAGCAAATATCACCTGAAGAAGGCCGGAGCATCTAACGGCCAAAACATCGTGAATATAGCAATAAAGATGAGGACAACAGTCCAAACAATGTAAATAGTTACAATATCTGACGTCAGAAATATAGACAGATCATGAAGAAGTCCGGAGCGTACAACGGCCGAAACGTCGTGAGTATGGCAATAAAGATAAGGACAACAGTCAGAACAATGTAAATAGTGTAAATAGTTACAATACTTCATCTCAGAAATAGAGGCAGATACTCCGATTATTTATGAACTTTATAACCTATGTTTATTTTAAATATACTTTAAAAGCTCCATTTATTTTATAACTTTTTGTACTTTAAAACGATCATTTATTTTAGATGTATTTCTTTTATTTTTTTTAGATGCACAAAATAATTCGAATAATGATAACTTTAAAATCTGCCTTTATGTACTTTAAAACCATCGCTTAATTAAGATTTATTATTTTTAGTTGCACAAAATGATTACTTTAAAGGGTGATTTATGGAAGAAATGAATATCTCACAAGTATATATTTTCTCCCATTATTGGCATTATTATATTCATGATATAATAGCGCACCTTATTTCACGGATGGGGCAGAATGGCTGAAAAGAAAAGGAATTACAAATATGATTCGTTCTAGGAGAGAGTTTTATGCTGCTAAGTCATACACAAAATAATATATACATATTTACTTGTCTTACGCAGAGAAAAAATATATATCTACACAACAGAGTGAAAAAGAGGGCGAAAAAAGAGAGTCTTACGTGTAATAATCCCAAATTCGGCCTGGAGCTACCGAAGATTATTCTGTGTTTCTGGGGAAGTCCTAATTTAAGATTCCAGATTCGAGCGGACTAGATTCATATGCGATGTCGCTAGCGAGGACATATTCCGCAAACGCGAAACGATGAATCCTGGGTTTTCCTAACATGAGAACTGCGAGCCGGATATAATTTTTATATCTGGTGAAGATATATTAGTATAGGAAAATAGCGTCATAAGTGGCTGGGGGAGGTGGATTTAGTCTCAGGCCTAGCCCAGGGGACCGAGTTTAAAAGTAATTCATTTACTGACTCTAGAATTACCACTTTCGTCACTGTGAAGTGACGTCACTAAGCGACCGTCAACGGACCCACGTGACTTCATCTCAACCAACGGGAGATAATAACCTTTTGGATTCCTCCAACTTTAAAACCGACATTTATTTTAAATATATTTTGAAACCTACATTCACTTGTTGTTGTACTATATAGCTGAGTGTATTCTTTTGTTATTTTATTGTACTGTATTTTTCATTTGACCCATGTATATGTCACTGGTTTTGGAGGCATTGGCGAGAGGGTGATAAATAAGCTAGAAATCACACATAATAATCATTTAAAATACGTATTACTATGTATTTTGAAAAAGAAAAGGCGGGGGTAATATTAGAGAAGGCGGTGGCTGGGCCACGATGGCGAACGATAGGTCAGAATACTTCGTGGGCGTGGAACAGTGATAGATTGCCTTTGACTAAGTTTTAGATATAAGACCAAAACAGTTCGAAGTCGGCAGAGGGTCACAAAAATTTTGAAGCGTCGACACACTTTCTCAGTTCTCCTATATGGCAGTGAAGGCTGGACAATCTCCTCTCAGATGAAGAGGAGACTAGATAATGTAATTTTTATATTTCATATGGCTGACACGAGCTCCTACAGTTTGGAAAGAAATTGGGGCGACAAGACATTCGGACCACCCTGTAATATCGGTCTTCCCATACGGCAGTGAATGCTGGACAATCTCCGCAAAGATGAAGAAGAAACTTGAAGCAACAGAAATGTGGTTCTACAGATTATCATAGACAGAACATACGAACAACGACGAAGTTTTAGAGAAAATAGAAACAAAAGGACACTTATACTTAACATCAAGAAGAGACAGTTAAATTTCTTGGGCACTTAATGAGGAAAGAGGGATTGGAAAATCTGATATCAATCTAGAGTTATCTTCAATTCTGGCAAAACTGTTCACCCACTACCTGAAGGAGACATTCTTCCCAAATCCATGGAAAGTGTCAACTGTGTATCCTGTTTTTAAGAATATGGGTGAACGATCATGCTTATCACAATATCAACCCATTAGCCTCCTTAGTGCCATCAGCAAACTTTCCGAATCTATAATCATCAAGAATATTCTTGAACACCTCAACCAAAACAACCTACTAAGTGATAACCAGTATGGATTTCGCCCTGCTAGTTGCTCAGATGTTGTCTTAACTGTCAATTTTCACAGAATCAGCAAGACACTGAACAATAAACTCTTCAAGAGGACCATTACCCTGAATATGTCGAAAGCATTTCACAAGGTGGGTCATTGCAGGTAGCTGCATAAACTCTCCATTTGTGAAATCACTGGAAGGGCTCTCTCAGCTGTCAAGTCCTTCCTGCCAGATTGTTGCCTGAGTGACATTGTTAACGACCAGTTGTCCGATGCCCATAACCCACCATTCCACATGGTTCTCTCCCCTGTTCTACTCTCTTTCTTCTCTATATTAATGATCAACCTAAGAGC